TCTAGTTATTCTCGCTATTATCACGTATGGAAAAAAAAAACACTATGGAGAGTTTGGCTGTAAAAAAGTCATGAAACTTCAGGATACACAAATGAATAAAAATGTCATTGCTCATGCATGTGTTTGTGTGACCAACCTGCGTGTGTGAGGGCGGTAGGCCTTTACGTCCATACACCCCAACAAGAGCATCTTTCTGGACGGAGATGTTGAATTTTAAGAACTGTGGTTGGTCAATATATAGTTGGGACCTCCAAAACACTCCTTGAATAGAACAACAAACCAGTCAAATCAGACAGTATTTAAAGTCTCTGATTCATGCTCAGAATATATGAATCAATATGCTCATATTACAGCGAAAGAAACAAGTCATTGATCTGACAAACCCATCACTCACATTTCAATACATGCAATGCAATATATACATTTTCTTTAAAAAAAACTCCCATTTATTTGTATCACCTGAAAAGGGTATATTAAGAATATGTGATAATAAAGTAGTCAACAATATTTGAACTCCAATACATTTCAAACTAACAAACAAAATAATAGTGCTAAGAGTCACATTTCTTCATTTTAACATCACATTATTGTGACATAATTATGGTAATTCGTAGTTTTTACAACATGATACCATACAAAATTGTACAACCAGGGAAATCAAGTGAGGCAATGTTGAACTGCTGTTGTAGCTGAAAAAGAGTTAAATTATACACTACGAAAGCGGAAGCTGTATCTATCCTTGCATCTGATCTTAACAGTGTTCTGTGCCATAAAGTCTTTTTTCGTGGATGTGACCTGTCCCACTGACTAAAGTCTGGAGCTTTTCAAGCAATGGTTGGAATCTGGGATGTCTGGTTATAGCTAGCTATGCTCAAGTGTATTTGTCCTTGACTCCGCTCCCAGTGTCCTGGGATAGGTAATGGTATTGCTGGCATTATGAGACACATACGCATACACATGCATAGATGCATGTGAAAAGTATTTATCTTTTGTTCATAAGCACTAAGAGGCAGCAGTCACAGGTAAACTAAAGTTACACTGTGATTCACCATAACACTTGTCAAGTTCCTGTACTGTAATTGCTGTCAACTGCCCTGGGCCCTGTACTACAAAGCTGGATTTACACTTATCGGGGTAACTTCAGGGTAAATTTAGGGTTTCTGCTTCTATGAAGCTCATTCACTTCTTACAGGGGTAAATCACCAAGGTAATTTATGCTGAATGGCTAACCTGCTCCGGAGCAGGTTAAGATATAAGAGATCATCCTGTATAAAAGCTCCGCCCACTGACCGATCATCACCTTTGAAACATGACATCAGCGTTCTTAGAGGATGGGTGTGGATTGTTTGAGTCTCTGAGGAGGACAAGGGTCTTCAGAGACCCACAAAATCCTTTTACCTACTCTGATGAGTATCTTTATGAAAGATATAGATTCTCATCAGAGGGAAGAATAAACCTTTGTCAGCTGCTGGAGCCAAACATAACCAACCCAGGTCACGTAGGAGCAACGTGCTCACAGTAACACAGACTGTCTGTATTGATCCACGATTCTTTGCTTGTGGGAGTTAATGATATTGATGTACTGGGTGTGTTAGCGGCGAGATAACTAGACAGCCTTTTATTCTTCCCTTTAAGTGGGGTTATGCTGTGAAAATATTATTACTAATCAGTATTTGGAATATGGGATAGATAGTTTACAAAATTTACGTTGTGACAGCCCTCATCCCTCCCTGTCCCTCTCGTCAACAAAGCGCACTACATTGTTGCATGGTGCCTACTCTCCTTAAAGGGAAGGATAAGGGAAGTTTAAAACAATGTCTGGTTGGTTATTATCTCTGCTGCTAACACACTCAGTAAATATCAATATCCCTCTGTTTCCAGAGGCGCCAGGTGCATCCAGTCACAGGAGAACCAAATGCAGAAATTTGGTCTGCAACACTGCTCTCATATATCATGGCTACCTGGATTACTCTTACATAATGTGGTCAGCCAAGAACTGCTACATATATCAATGGCAGTATATCACTCATTCACTCCTGTTACCTTTTGAATGATAGAGTGAGAGGACAGGAAGATGTGTGTGTGTGTGTGTGTGTGTGCGTAATTAACCTTGTGGGACGTCTTGTATGGCTCGTCTACCCACATCCACCTCTCCTGTGTCTATGGTGTTGTTCTCTAGAGGAAACATTTTACCTGCACAAATAACAAAACACATTCACAGAGGGTCCAGGAATTGTGGATAATCTTGTTTCTTGTCTCATGTTTGTTATGAGAAATATATCATGTTCATAACATAGAAATTTGATTTTTGAGGTCACAGCAACCTTGACCTTTAACCTTTGACCCCTAAAATGGACAATCAACCTGAAAACATAATGCCTCTGGCAACTGGCCCATGCAAAGGCATAAAAATCCACACAATAGCTATCATTGGAATGTGTAGTGGGAGAGGTGAGAAGGGTCCTGCTTATCCACTCTGCAGCAATTGGCTTTTATAATGAACTAAAATATATATTCATAATAAAGTGCTATTACCAACAGACGTTTGTAGTAATTTCCAGAAGGATCTACGTGATTAATTCCTATTACGAGTAGACTCAGACCTCAAATTGAAAATATCAGAAAATAAAAATGTGTCACTTTCATGTGCATTAGAAGTTCACATCTAATGAAAACAAAGCAAGAGGAACTGCAGAGACCAGCAGATGGCAATATCATGTACTATGCAATATCATCAACGCTGATTCATGAACAATTCTGGTCTTTCAGAAAAACATTTGTTGTAAGCCTTTCTTATATTATTTGTTGCTTTCACTGTGAAAAGAAAGAATAACAGTGCATTAAAGTGGGGCTTACCATTGTCTGTGGACACCATAAAGGTGTTAGGGGTTGTATCTCTTCCACCTCCTCCATTTTCAAATGCTCCATATACCTCACTCTCTTGAAGCTGCCAGTTTAGACCAAACAGGTGCATAGCTGGAAAAAAGAAAAAGTGGAGAGGAAGATGGAGCAAGGAATGGAAGAAGCAAGTTAATACAGTGCACAGGGTGATGGAAAGAAAGAGCACAATACAATGATGCGAAAGATATCACAGTTAAGACAAGGATAGAGGAAATGAGAACAGCAGAGAAAAAGAAGACAGACAGAATTGATAGAGGGATAAAAAAAGGACATATTTGATGACAAAAGAGAAAATATGAAAACACACGCATGCACACACACACACACACACAGTACCCAGGGATAGAAAGAGTGGATTGTGTTAACTTCAAAGAAATCTTAGCTCATCTGACATTACAATACAATACATGGTAAATTTATTTATTTAGCACTTTTTAAGTCTTGATGACCATTAGAAGTGCTTTACAATACTCAGCTCTACCACCAACAGTATGTTTTCTTTCTCTTTTCCTTTGTGTGTGTGTGTGTGTCTGTGTGCACATCTGACCCCTCGATGTAGTAAATCATCTGCTCACTTTCATTTTACTGTGATCTACATTATAATCATTCAGAATCAACACTGATTATTTACTTTACGAAGTTGACTTGTTGTATGGTCACAGTTAATGATGTGGGACACAGGAAACAAATCCAAGATAAAAGCTTTACCTAAAGTAACATAACCCCTGAAACAGGCATTTCTGACAAATGGGCTGCAGAAAGCACTGCCAGATCATCACCATACAGTGCCTGTGACGGTGTCTGCCTTTTGTTTCTTTCTTAAAGGAAGAACACAATCTTTGAAAGTGATAAGAGCATAACTGTTGTACTAATATTAATTTTTTGTTGATTTAGATGATCTTCAAAACAGCCAAATCAAACAAATGAATATATTTAGTATATGGTTTGGGAGCCTCTTTAAAGGACACAAACTTCAATGGGCCATTGAAATTAAAATAAAAAACTGTGTCTAATTGTCTAATCTGATAAAAGTAAGATATTGAATATGTTGAAGGGACCTCATCCAATGACAGAACCTGATATATCAAATGTGGTTAAATCAAAAGTAATATACTGTTTGTGTTGATGGCTTTGTACAGGAATGTAGTCTTGAGTGTGGACTGGATTCCTCACACAGCAGATATCATAGAGAGAGTTGGACCAATTAGTGAGAACCCCCGCCCCAACACACACATACACACTGCTCTGCCTCATTAAATTAGAGCCATGCTGCGCTAACCCATTATCCAACACCCCTCCTGGTGAGGACAGGAGCAAAGGGTCGCGGGAGAGTGCAGGCTAATCGACTGGAGCCTGTGTGTGTGTGTGTGTGTGTGTGGTGGTGGTGGTGGTGGGAGGGGGGGGTGTCTATCCTCTAGTGTCTAGTGAGCAGAAGCAGTGTATTCACCCCTACAGTGACTTATGAGGAATTTTTTTCTAGTTTAAGAAGAAGTTATGATCATCCACATTGCCATGGCAGTGCATCAAAACGTTTGTTGAGTCTCCGTCAGGGGTCAAAGAGTGTAGTAAACTATCCTGTGGAGTTTTGGACCTTGGCAGCTGATGCTCAATGGGATGAGCGTGCACTAAGAGGAGTTTTTCTGAAAGGTTTAAATTAACAGCTTAAAGATGAACTTGCCTCCAGGGATGAACCTGAAAGTCTCAACCCCCTTGTCTCTCTAACTATCAGGTTGGACAACTGTCTGCGTGAACGCCGCCTGGAGAAATGTTCTCGTTGGCTGCTGGTCACCAGCGCTCACATCGCACCACAGTTGGTCCAAAGCAAACCTCCACCATTCAGCCCAGCTTGGCTACTGTTTTCCAGAGGACAGTAAGGTAACTCACCAAACTGCTCCCCTCATCCTCGTCCTCTCTGGTAACTACCGTGAAACCGTTCGTCTCAAGATCATTTCAGCTGCAAATTCACCCCTAGTTCTTGGCCACCCATGGTTGAAGAAACATAACCACCACATAGCTAGGGCAGCAGGGAGAATTGTAGGTGGGAGTAGTTTTTGAGTACTATGATTTTGAGAACAGGGTATTGTTAGCTATCAAGTTAGGATTAGAAGAGTGGAGACATTGGCTGGAGGGGGCAGAACAACAATTCGTGGTTTGGACAGATCACAAGAATTTAGCATACATTCAGTCAGCTAAGAGGCTAAACTCCAGACAGGCTTGGTGGGCTTTGTTTTTCAGTCGTTTTAACCTACTGCCCAGGTAAACGTAACATCGAGCCGATTCTCTCTCCCGACAATATATGAGTGAGGTATCCAATGCAGATTCTGACACTATCTTTCCTCCCTCCTTTGTTGTCGCAGCGGTCACATGGGAGATTGAAGCAGTGATCAGGGGGGCACAAGAGAATCAACCTGACCCAGGTACAGGCCCACCTAACTGTTTTTGAGTCCCAGATTCTGTCCATTCTCATGTCCTACAGTGGGTTCATACTACCCTGGAGTTAGCCGCACTCTCTCTCTCCTGAAGAGATACTTCTGGTGGCCCACAATGGATGCAGACACTCGTACATATGTTGCTGCCTGTTCTGTGTGTGCCAGGAGCAAGGCGTCCATCAGGCTCCAGCTGGCCTTCTGCATCCACTTCCATTTCCTAGCTGTCCCTTTGCAACACATCGCCTTGGATTTTGTCTCTGGTATGCCTCTCTCACACGGTAACACAGTTGTACTGACCACTGTGGATCGATTTTCCAAGACTGTCCATTTCCATGCCCCTCCCAAGTTACCATCTGCTCAATAGACTGCTAACCTATTAGCTGACCATTTTTTCCGTCTACATGGCATACCAGCTGACATTGTTTCGGTTAGGGGTCCCCAGTTCACCTCTCATGTGTGGAAGGCATTTTGCCAGGCCATGGAGCTAAGGTCATCTTATCATCTGGCTTTCATCCACAGACAAATGGACAAACAGAAAGGGCTAATCAGCATCCAACTCTTCCACATGGAGTTCTCATGTGACCTGAATTGAATATGCCCATACTCTTTAACCAACGCGGCCACAGGTATGTCCCCTTTTGAGGCCTCTCTGGGTTATCAACCACCTCAATCAATCAATCAATCAAATTTATTTATATAGCACGGTATCACAACAAACAGTTGTCTCAGAGTGCTGCACAAAAGTCCAAGATCTTAAGAAACACAAAATCCAACTTGTTCCACACCGAGCAAGCATGAGCAACAGCGGGGAAAAAACTCCAGAGGTGGGAGGTCCTCAGGTGGGAATGCTGGTGGTTACGTGACCCTCCATGTCAGCCCTGCGAAAGACCGGCGACCTCACTAGGTCCATCCCTCATGAGGACTCGAGCCAGGACGGGCTCCGGAGAGCCACACAGTATGGACCAAGGAGGGGAGGAGAAGACCCAAGGAGTTAGAGATATTTAATGAGAAACATCTGTTTCCCTCTCAGGAGACTGATTTGGCTCTACTCCGTTCAGCATCACCTTCATCGCTGTAGCAAGGTCTGGAAAGATACCTGGTCAGCTCTCCTCAGTCTGTCCATTAAGGGGGGGTACTGTTAGGGCCAGGTTTTCGACCTCTTTTCTTGCGCTGTGTTTTCCCTTCCCCCACTGTTTCTTGTTGCTCTCCTTCCCTGTGTGTCTCTACCTGGAGCTGAGCAGGGCCTCCTGCAGCTGAGCTTCATCTCCTCCTCTACAAACCCAGCAGTCAAACAATAAACTGTTTTTGTTACCATCAATCTGCTGTGTTTGTGTTCTGCACTTTGTGTCCGCCAGAGGCAAATTATAACAGAGAGAGAGTGTGAGAGAGAGAAAGAGAGAGAGAAAGTAAGAGGATTAATGGCCAGGGTAACAGTCATGCAAGACTGGTTCTCTCTGCCAGAATTATTTTGAGAAATTTAGGAAGTAACAGAACATTTCATATTAAACTAGTCAAGATTTAAAGAAGCTAAAAAATAAAGTGAAAAGTTAAGCTGAAATCTTTGAAACCAAAAAAAACTCTTATTTCATCAAAGTGACGCTAAGTGATGTACTTTACACCCATACATCAGAGGGCTGTGGTGGAAAGTTAACTTAAATTGATTCAAATTATCTGCAGTTTCAAAGGGAAAGAGTCAAGAAATAACAACAGAATAGCATTATTATAAGGACCATGGTACAAAACATCACTGGTCTCCCATCTCCAAAACACCAAAACTAACCCTGTTAGTGTTATGTACTAATCAAAAAGTCCCAGGAAAGTCTGAAAAGATGCTTTGAAATAAATGCCCATGACACAAACACACACACACACACACACACACACACACACACACCATCTGAGCTTGATTGTATATATGACCTTGACAAACTAGAAATACCGTTCTGTGGTTGTATGCCTCCTTCAATCAAAGCTTCAGTCCCTTCAAGTGAACCTGACATATTACATACACAATGACCATTACCTTTGACCACAAAAATGTAATCAGTAAATCTTTGAGTCCAAATAACAACCGGTGAAAACTTGAAGGCAGACTTGAGATATCATTTTCAAGAGGCCAAAAACATGTTGTATGTACTGTATGTGTGTGTGTGTGTTTGTGTGCATGTGCTTTTACCTATGCAGTAGCAGAGCAGGACAGAGAGCAGGGCAGATAGTCCTACCGCACTGAGTGCTGTACACCTGAAAGAAAACACAATCATTGTCTGTACTTTTGCATTATTCAGAATTGCTTTTGTTTCTAATAACCTCCACAATATCTTAGATTTAGTACATCTTCCTAATTGTATAATCTCTATTGTCTGATCAACTTCAGATGCCAATATTCAGTAAACTTTCAATGTACTACAAATGAAGTCTCCAATAGCTTCTGTGCTTGATGTTACATGTCTCCATAAACTGCGCTTCTAGTGGTGATGTTTTGGAATGTGAGTCTGTCTGCTGTGTGAGAAGTGCAAGCATACAGCCATAGCTACAGTGAAATGCATGGGATTAAGGGTGATTAATGTGGTGTTATGTTTGCCTACTGATTTGTGATTCCCAGCCAAACCAGTTTTGTCTGTCCACCTTAGTCATTGTGATTAATTGATTAGAATAAACTCTGTATATTTTGAAATTCATGCAACAAGCATACCACTCTTGTTTGCAGGGTTGTCGTCCTGAGAACTGTTATGAATCAATTCTCCCAGTTGAAAAATGTATCTATGCAGAGCAGTTATAAATTACTTAGATGTCTTGTCACAACAGGAAAATAAGACAACTAAGGTAAAGTGACTATTTAAGGCTGTATTGTTCATGTTCATTATGTCAGCATTTATATGATAAATATATATATATATGATAAAATCCAAGGTGAGAAAATCTAGCCTTGATATGTCTTAGTCATTGTGATTAATGGATATATATTTAGAAGGCATTCCCCTGACCCCCTTTTTTTTTTTAATTATAGATAAATAAATGGATAGATACTACTTATCTGTTGTGTAAGTCATGCTAGACTCCTGATTAATGATGTGCAAGAATCATCTTACATTTGTCTGATTCAGATAGACTAGCAACACTGAGTCAAGCCCAAACTACTCATAGTCTGTACCCTGGACACTTCAAGTCAGACAGCCATATGCTCAAAACTGGAAATATGTTGGTGGTAACCTGACAGCAAATTCTTCTCAAGCTTCAAATCCCTTAATGGTTAGAAAGCATTTTACTGCCCCGGCCATCTCTATCTGTCAGCCATGTTCTCAAATTAAAAAAGGCGTTCATCACATAAACTGACAACCCATCAAAACACAACATATTATTCTTACATCAAATAGGCATTTAGGGACAGGCCAATTAGTCTTTTTTCCTAATGTGGAGAGCTGCTGTAAGATGCTTCTATGACTAAAACACATTCCCCTCTACAGATGTCTGCATTGATTAAGAGAGCCAGCAAGACAGGGTTGTGTCCCGACCTTGCATATTGCAGCGTTAAGTTGTGCACAACAGGTTTGGCTCCTCCCTGCTCACTCTATCTTACCTCCATGAGCAGTACTTTGAGGTTTTCTTGAACTTGAAGGCGGAGCGGGACAGCGTATTCCTCGGCAACGGCCTGGTAGGTGGAGAGTACACTGAGCCTGTAGCCATAGTGTAGCCAGGAGTAGCGGTGGAGAAGAGGGGGGTGGTGCCTGTACCTGTCTTGAAAAGGAAGTGCCTGGAGGGTGAGAGAAGAGAATGAGAATAATTACTAGTGATACATTAGTATGAGACACCGGCTTTGTTTCGATGCACTGAAAATGTACTGCTGTACAAAACTTACATAATGTTGTCCCTTGTTAGCGTCAGGTCACTACGTTCATTTTGGTTACTGTGGTGGCTACATGAGCTGTAAGGTTATGCCATTAAGCTACATACCATATTTATGTTTTACCAACCATCAGCCATTTTTGAATGACCCATCTTAACCATGAACACTGTTTTTCATGATTACTGCAGCTTCTAGTTATCTGGCACTATTGAGGATAATGAATAAGAAGCTGTGCTGATTTTATCATTTTACCATGATTGTTGGAAGATGTCAACAACTGCTGAAATACAAATAAAACCCAGATTGAAATTTATACTTAAACATAATTTGTGTTAAAAGATCTGCTCCCAGAATCTCTGAAAAAACATATTGTATTTTGTCTTTGACCGCTGATAGAGGACATGTTTGACTCTTTAGAGTGTACAGGACCACCATTTCCTATGCTTTTACCGCCTAGGTTGAGTGGATGGTTAAGCAGGAGTCTGAGACAACATACAACTGAGGTATAGAACTTCTTAATCTCAAACTAGATTGCATTTCAATCCACCACACCACAGGAACACAGTGTGAGCACATTGTTCGGCATTGAAACTATTTTTTTCGTAATCCTACTAACTAAACAAACAGCAGAAAACAAAACAGCCTTGGCACACGTAATGAGTATATTTCAATTACCTCCAACCAGTGGACACACAAATCCTGTGGAGAGGGTGCAACATGTTTATATAATCAGACAAGCATTATTACTCTTTAATAAACCTGCACAGCGGTTGCAGTTGTTTGCCTTATATGGCATTTACATTGCTTTAATGGAGAATGTATTACATGATTTACATATGAATATTAAGATTTATAAAAGCATAATGTTTCAATCCATACACAAAAACCATGCATCACGTAGAACAAATCAAATAGGGACATTCGTTCTTAACGATCAAATCGAATTTGATCAGAAATGTGATATTTATGAGAGTTTAGGCCAATTAGACTTTTATTATTATATTGTGATATCATCATATTTGAAGTGGGTGAGGCTGTGTGTTTTTTTGATTGATTTATTTGTTTTCATTTACATTCAGTATTGTTTTTATATATGAGTGTTTTATAGTTTTTCTTAACTGATGTCACACATTCAAAAGGGCTCCTTTACCAGGCCTGTAGAAAAGGCTAAAATATTTGCTCTTTCCATCCTGTCACTGGTTTTTCACCTGATATTCCTCATTACTTGTCTTAGAAAAACAGAAAACCAAACTGGAGTGGGCTTGATACACCACAAGAAACTATCTTGCAGTCTTTCTGAGCATTGGTGGGAATAGGTATGAAAATTCCACTTCACTGAAGATGTTGCTCTTTAAGGCCATATTGATGGACCCACAAGTAATCATGCTGCCGCAGTTGTCTCTATCGTCTGAAATCAGGGGGAGGAAGCGACTGCTCCAGCTGTCGAGATGCGGGGGGTCTTGGAGTGGTTGAAAAGGGAACCTTAGACAGGCTATACAGAGAAGTCACTTAGAACAGTGGGAAGTTCATTAACACTAATCTGACAATTGTTCTAGCAAGATAGTGACAGCTCTTCCTTGGGTCCACAAATCAATATATCCCTCCCCAAGCATGTAGGAGAACTTACATCCTACATACTGGACCTTTAAGGTCTTTTGGTTGCTAAAAAAAGAATAACAAACATTAAATTTTATTTGTCTTGTAATCTTATTTTGAGGTAAAGGTTTTTTTTTTGTATACGCATTGTGCAGTTGAATATAAGCTGGAGACAGCATTAGAAATAGAAGAGGTTTTCAAAATGCGGCTGCACAGAGCACAGAGCAGGGAGGCAGATTGAATACTAACTAGTCTACAGTATATGTGTCTAGTGAGTGTTTAAGTGTAAGTCAATGAAAGCAGATACACAGTGTTTGGATAATCAAGTGTAAAATGACTGTAACCACAGTTTGCTTATTTGAGATGAGCATGTTATTAACCATTACTAATCTGGTAGTCCACTAATAATAACAGCCTTTCAAATGCACTGTGCTACAACCTGCTTCTACATTACATCAACACTACTTACACTGGGCCTTTTAAGTGATTTCGACAATAGGAATGACAAAGGGGGCTGAGGTTGGTACTTTAGAATCATGCCTTTGTGTGTGTTTAACAAAGTGTGACATTAAGTACAATAGGGAAGACATAGATTTCGGATCCACAGGAAGAAAGTGACTGTAACTAATGTGTGGATAGTAGATGTGTCAATGGTAGCTGGCAAACCTAACACTGTGACAGTAGCATGGACAACAGCTTTCTCCTATATAATCCCACATAAATACTTATAACCCACACACAGCTGCCGCCAACTACATGCAGTGACAAGTGTTTCTTTTACTTGCTTTTTCTCTCAATGCATAAAATCATACAAACATCCACACAAACCTTTAAAGGTACCGTGTGTATCATTTTGGGATATCTAGTGTTGAAATTGCATGTTGCAGCTGAACACCCCTCACCTCACCCTCTCCTTCCAAACATGAAACATGAAACATAAAAATGATGTTCATATAAAGTATTCAAATATAAAGGACAATTCATACAATTTAGATTAAACGAACTAGTGAAAACATCATGAGGATTATTCTACATGAAATTTCTGCCAATAGTTCCCTTTCACCTAAATTTTACACACTGGACCTTTAAATTTAACTTATTCTGATTTCTGCCTCTTCAATTAGCATAATGCATAAATGTGCAAGAAAATATTAAACTTCTAGAACAATATTTGATTATTGATATTTCCGTGTACCTGTTTGTACTAAAATGTATTTCATTATAAATGTATTTAATTCATGTAAAAAAAACAGTTTGGATACTGAATCAGTGGCCTAATTCTTCATAAAGCAATTTCAATTTGAATTCCCAGTCAGATGTAGATGGCAGCAATTTTCTGTTCTGTTTGGTTTTGTACTTAAATGTAACAGTTTTAATAATATGCTAAAGTGCTAATGGAATTGTAAATACACAATTGTTTTGCTGATGGCTGAGTTGAAGAGAGAACGTTTTTCGAATTGCTAAAGATGTGGACATTGAATACATTTTGTGTCAAAGCAAGAAAAATGCCACAGTCCACATCGACCTCTGTTGTGCTGACTGCAAAGAGTTTTAAAAAGCGAAGTCGCATTAAAAACTGTAAACAGTTTGAGAAGATCAGAGGAAAATACACAAAATACACAAATTGAACGAGGAGAGGAGGAGAAATGTTTTTAGATTTTTTTTTTAGATTTTTATAATTCTAAAACAAAAGTTATCCACAAGTGAATTAAGTCATCACAAATTTTTCTCATCATTTTGGTTGGTTGTATTTCCCAAATTTCTGCAACAGAAAATGTTCTTCGTATTAGACAGAAAACATGACTATATTTGCATCACATATTTGGAGATAACTGTTGAAGTAGATATATTTTATACAGATCTTTAGAAATATATGGACGCTGCTGAAAAATACGTAAGCGTTGCTCTTAATATTAAATAAAGGATTAAGACATAACAGCAAGAATCACTGTTGTCATAATCTGTTGCTTGTCCATTGATAAAACAGTAGCATGCACATGAATCTGAGGCTGTGTGTGTTAGTGTGTGTCTTTTTCTCTGAAGGTAAAACATTTGTCTTTGAGAGTGTGTGTGTCAATAGCGTAGAGATTACCAGCTCTAAACGGCCACATTCACACTCTCCTATTACATCTCATCCAATTTCCTCCTCCTTTAAAATTAGACTTTAGTCTTTGTCTCTATCTTAAATTTTACGTTTTGTCTGTCCCAGTTGTAGTAAAATTATGACTTTCAGCACAAAGTGAAGTCTGTGTCAATTTTCAGCATTTCACCAAGATTAATAAAAAAGACATTTGACTTTTCATTATAAGCACTTGATCTTGATCTTGATCTTCTATCAACCTTGCATTAAAAAATATGCAATTCTGTAGTTTGTCATGTCACAATGTGTCAGACATGTTTAAATGCATCATCTTTTGCAAAACAAACTCATTTTGAAAAAATGTTCTGACTAAAAATCTGACATTATTTAATTTGATGTTGTACAGTGGCTTTGTGGAACATGGTGGGGAACAGTGAATGTGTGTGATGGTAATAAACTGGAAGCAGGAAATGAAACATTGTGGTGTGTTTTGCTGCTGAATTAAAATACCATTTAAAATAATGTTCATGCAGCACCTGTTCCGACCATGGTTACTCAAAGCATGACACACAGCCTCATATCTTTAGTTACCATGGTGATCTTGTTTGCAGCAAAGTGAGCTTTTCAGGCCAAAAAGCCAAAGATAAACCTGCCATTAGATTACTAACTCACTCTTCTTAGCATTAGTCCTTTTTGCAATGTGAGTCATTGTGATGAAAGTGGTAAATGGACTGTATTTATAAAGCTTGCTCAAAGCGCTTTACACTTCTAGTCACCTGGTCACACACACACACACACACACACACACTAACACACACACACACTCACTCACACAAACACACACAAACACACACACACTTGTTCTTTCCACAATGGTAATCATTTGGAGCAATGTGAGGTTTTGTGTCTTGCCCAAGGACACTTCAACATGTGGACTGGAGTAAATGGATTCTTCTGATTACTTATTGGTCTATTCAGCCTCCTGAGCCACAGCCACTAACAATGCGACATGGTTATCTATGGTCTGGTCTGTATTTTTATATACATTATTCTTGATTACCACTCAAGGTGCTTATCAGTACAGTGACTGAAAAAATAAAGACAAAACATATTTTTCCAGTCAGGTATTGAAGTAATGCTGTAAAAAACTCTGGGTGTCACTTTACTTAATATTTAAAATAAATCACATGCAGCAGCCTCACTCAGTGAAAGTCAATGCATGGCACATGAAAGGTAACATAGCATCTGTATATACTTAACATTACAGTGATAATCATTTGTACGCATGTGGATAATTATCAGAGTCAAAATCAAATAAAAAAGGAGATTATTTGATTGACCTTTCAAATTTGAAATAAAATAATTGTAAACATTTCCATCACAAAGTTTTGTTCATGTGAAACTTTAAGTAGAGTTTTATTTTTGTCAGAATGAAAGACTTTATTTACCCCCAAATCTGTTCAAATAAGAGAAACAGAAATCCATGAGGCTAAAAAATGACATGAAACATAAGAAGTATTTCATGGCTATAATTTGTATGAATCAGCTCTGCTCTAACAGCTGCTACATAGGCTGGGCAAGTAAAAGGATAGGGGCAGGTAAGCTAACCTACCATTAACGTGGAGATGTTGTGCTGAAGGATTCTATGTGAGGGGCTGTCTGATTGTTATTAGGGTGAAATGGCACAAACACACACTTGTACTTACACACACACTGCTTGTGGTGCACAGGGTAATGATAGTCTGTGTGAGTAAAGATGTGTGATGGATGCAGGTTATTTTATATCTTGGTACAATCTAAGTCATTCATTTCCCTCCTTCATCACAATTACCATCCATTCTGACACTGATGGCTACATCTTCAACTCTTTAGTATCTGAAGAAAAAGAGCAGAGACATATGAAAAGATAAGGTCAGGGTACCTTGTTTCCAGAGGCACATTGCTACCCAGCACCCAGCTGTCTTGCAGCGGGACACTCTCGGGGGGCGTGGTCTGCAGCTCGGCTGGTGATTGGCCGGCCACGGGGGCCGAGCTTCCAGTAGGTGGGTTAAGCTGCCGCGTTGAATTCAAGGACTGTCCAGCGTGGTGCGTCGAGCTCAGAGATTGGTTGAGAGCTGTCACCGAGGCCTGCTGGCGGTGAGGGGGTGGCACAGGAGGCAGGGTGGAGCCGTGATGATTGGCTTGTTGCTCTGCAAACAGAAGGGAAGCATGGTTGAAGGGTTTCTTTTTTGCTTTGCATTTATCGCATTTTAACTGATCAACGCACCATCGAGCAATGTAAAGTGGTACTTTTTCAAACTTTAATGAGAAAAAGCAAAGGCCCGTTTTCCCTTTCTATCGAGAACTTTTTAGGTGAAGGAGAAACTCTTGGCCTTCAATCTGCACAAAGAATATCCATCCATTTTCTGTTTTGTGATTTTTCTTGATGAAATGAGATTAAAGATTTTCACTTTAAACATAGAACAGGTTAACTGTGTCCACGAAGTCAACACTTAATCATTTATATGACAAAGTATGTGTAACCCTTCCTCTTCTCCTCCTCTCCTAAAAATGTGGATTATGGGGTTTGGAAAGGGTGTATTCTGGAGGTGTATTCTGCAAAAGAACTGAGACGTAGTTTCTGGACCAAGACCACCTCTTTTGGTGGGACGAAACTGAAAAGTCAGGAGGTATAGACTAAAGTAGTTGGGTGTGAGTTGTAGAGCTGCCATTTGTAGCATAGCTGCTTTATGATTAGTTTGAACTCTCAGGGGGACAGTCAAACTTGAAGACACTCATCACTCTCCACACTGCCATCCCTTTTAATAATGATTTAACATTTGCATCATTAACAAGAGAACTTCCATCACATTTCAGATTAGATTTCATCATCATCCAAGCAAACAACTATTCACTTCAGATAATATAGACTTTTCTATTCATGAAGGTAAATATTAATTCCTGTGATGCTCTAATTAGCAAACTCTGATGCCAGCAACCTGTTGAGAAGACAGCCACTTCAAATGTATTAGCCTCAAGACTAGACGGCCCGATTAAAGATGGTGAGCAAGATCAACTGCAGAACTTTACAATTTATGATGATGAAATTTAAGGTAATTACAGAATGTGTCTACATCTGTGTGTGTGTGTTTGTGTGTGTGTGTGTTCTTCAGGCCAATTGTGACTCAGAATGTGAATTATTAAGCCATGTTTTACTACTTGTTCTTCAAGTGAAAACTACAATTCATAAAATTTTCTGCATTAAGTTTCTGCCAATAGTTTCCTTTCACCTAAATCTTACACACTGGACCTTTAACTGACAGCATATATAGATTTTTCCACGAATCCCAGTTAAATAGGAAGAAATGATGGAATAGTTCACACTGCCTGTGACCTCGTCTTTTCATTTCCTTTCTGAAATGTTCCAGTTCAGCCCTGGAGCACCATTCCACAGAGCAAACAGCTACTAACATTCAGGTTTTCATTATCATGCATTTGTTGTTACTGTCAATGAGATTCAGTCTAAATAATATGAGACATAGTGATGAAAATAATTTATGAATGCAATGCTATTAGTGAGAATCTTTGAATCTGGTTCAAATTCACTTAATACTTTTTTGTCATACAGGGGGTGAGAAATATTCCCCAATGCTGCACTCACCTCAGCCAGGCTGAATACTGCCTACACAAGACCCCACTCTGTGAAGAAATATTAGCTCCAAGTTGACCTGGCTTCAACTTTCCCTGCAGTTTTTCTCTGCGCTGTTTAGCTTTTCTGCTGTCCCTGGGGTGCTCAGGAGGAAATGAATGGCAATGCTGCTATTTGATTTGCATAAAGAGCATCAAGTCTCCATTTCCCAGCCCTGCTGTTGTTCATTCTCCACTGCCCTCACTCAAGAAAATATACAGCAAAGACAGGAGAGAAGGGATAAGGGAATCTTCAAGGCTAAACGCTGAATGCCACACGTGTGCTTATCACCTCCGTGTGTGAGTGTGTTTAATCCCTTAAAAAGAGTTTGGATGTGTGTGTCTGTAATTTCAATGTTGTAGTGCAGAGATGCCAAACTCAAGGCCCGCGGGCCACTTCTGGCCCGTGGTATAATTATATCCGGCCCGCGATAAAATGTCATATGTTTATCTTAACTGGCCCACCGGTGCACAGTGCCCGGCTAGACAAACACGGAGCGAGCGAGCCCTAATCTCCACTCCCCGAGTGGGAGCCAGGCAGCGTGCACAGGCTCCACTGGCTGAGCAGCGGTACGCAATGCCCGGCTAGACGCACACGGAATGAGCGCCCCTCCTCACCTGCCAGTATTTGGTGTCAGTTAATTATGTTTCCAGTGTTCCAGAGATCCCAGTGCCTGTGTGCTGCTGTCTGTGCCCTGTCAAGTTCCCCCACACGCTTCTCTCTGTGATGAAGATGAACAAAAACCCACACAGGAGTCGTCTCACTGATGAACACCTTCACTCCATCTTGAGGAGCACAGAACCTAACCCCAAACATGAAGGAACTTGCAGCCAAGAAAGGATGCCAAACATCTGGCTCTGGCACATCTTTTTGACGTTATCATTATATTTAGGTTTCAGATGTTTTGTGAAAATGGGCCATGAAGTGTTTAGAAATCATCCATCATCATTGTCTGATATGTGTCCGAGGTCTTTCAGAGAGCCATTGATTGCCATTGTTTACCACAGTCATCATGCAATATCTAATACAACTGCCAATTCAGTTTTTGATAACATGTAGATAAATATTTACTGGAGATGGAACAATTATCGGTCTGGTAGGTGGAGGAGAAATTGATCTACAGTGAACTACATGTGTTGTGTTGAGGGTTCAGGACTGGACCCTATAACAGACACTACATAATAGTCCGGGTGACTACACAAGTGAACTTAAATAAACACAAAACCCACAAAAGTCTGAAAATCTACCAATTATCAGTCAAAATGGCTAAATATCGCCAAACACATAACAGTCCCATGAGCCTTTGCAACTTGCTGTCTAATCAGACAATATGAATACAATATTAAAGTTATGTCCCTTGTGGTTTTTTGTGGTACCGACTGAACTGAGTCATTAAAAATAGTTTCTTCCTCTCCTGTTGATCAGACTAATGTGGCCCAGCTCTAACATCAGGGACATCCTAATATAGGATAAAGCTTTAGCTGGGTTTTAATCAGTTTCTCGATGTTCAAAAATAAACATCAGGGAGCAAACATTGTATTGCTAAATCCCCCTTCCTTCAGCCAAGTCCTGATCCCTGCAGGATAATAAACATTCAGGTCACAAACATGCACACACACACACACACACACACANCACACACACACACACACACACACACACACACACACACACACACACACACACACCCTTTCCAGTTGCTTCTTTTTTCAGGAGAAAAATACAGATACAGGAAAGATTAAGAGCGAGACAGACCAGCAGCAAAGAGAGAGAGAGAGCGCTACAGACCCTGAAAAGGACAGATAAGAACTGATGGAGGGAAAAGAGATGAAACCACTGGCAGAGGAAACCCACTGTCTTTCAAAATGTGTGAGGGAGTTATGGTTTTCAAACAGCGAGCATATTGTAATGATTGATGGTAGAAAAATGACATAGGGAATTAGCATTTACCATGAGCTATCTATAGAACTCACTATGTGCAGTACAGATGATGGGAAGTAGCATTCCCTAGTGGGGTCCATGTCACCTGAATGAATGATCCGATATTAAGAATATTACCTGAATTCGTTGATTCCCACATTTTAGGAACAAATGAAATATAGCTGGACAGGTCATAGTTTTTATGCTGGTATATACACTTTGATTTGAGACAGCAATGCTTCCAGAATTGAACTGAAAACGTTTCTTAACATGGATTTTTCTCTTGCATGCATGAAACTACAAAACTTGACTTCATCTTCACTCAGACAACCTCAGTCAAAATTTCATGGTCATTCAGTTTTCTGAAAAACTTTGTTCCCAGAACAAATCACATTGTAGAGAAATAAAAAACACAGACCCGGATGCTTTATCTCTGCTCTCCACGTTCTAACTCTTTTGCTGTTCCATGTGCACCATTCCTCCCTGCACCCTTCTGCTATTATATGCTGAACTGTTTCAGGGGCATCTTGCATCTTTGCTCAGCCTGCAGCTGGGGTCCTGTCTGCTATGAGCAGTGCCTCTGTGCTATCTTTCAGACCAGCTTTATCCAGGCACTGGTAGGATTTCTTCTTCTATCTGTTAATAGTTCATGCCATGCAGGGGCTTGTTCTTCCATGATCGTTACTTCTCTACCTCCTCATCATCATCATTGGGTTTCTGCTTTCTGGGGTCATCCTTTAGCAGATCATCACTTGGGAGGAGCTTCCTTGACTTCTGGATCTTGGTTTTATCCAGCATAATGGCTCCGACACTCACTAGTCTTTGGCCACCTTCCTTCCACTTTTTACAGACATCAAATCCTCTGCATTCTTCAGGCGAGAGGTGGAACAGGCGGGTGGAGCTAACGACGTATTAACTTCACTGGCAGATCACAGACACCGGCGTCAGCTCTTATCACCACAAACTCTCTAAACATCTTCTTCTGTGCCTTCTATGAGTGTGTCACCACCTTTTCACCCAGATATGTTTGTTTTCTTTTTTAATTTTTGCTTGATATTGGACGGTAGGCTGTTAAAGTTTGGAGGATGTCATTTGTCAAAAGCTTTGTGCAAGCAAGAATAATCACAAGCACCAAAAAGTCTAAAAATGTAAGTAAATTGGTCAAAAGTCAAATATACAAACTAAAATGTTAACATTGTTCAGATATTCATATCATGAATATCCAGTTGAAGCTTTAAGCTTATGTAAATGGTTGTATTTACATAGAGCTTTTCTAGTCTTAATGAGCACTCAAAGTGCTTTACACTACAGTTTGCCATTCACCCATTCACACACACATTCATACTAGTCTATTGGCAGCACTTTTTTTGTTCTATGGGGCAATTTGGGGTTCAGCATCTTGCCCAAGGACACTTCGGCATGCAGATGGGAGGACTGGGGATTGAGCTGCCGACCTTCTTTTTGGAGGACAACTGCTCTACCCCTCAACCACAGCTGCCCCCTATGTCTGTATTTGGGTTAAACTCTATCAGTGTTGATATAAAACTGAAAAAGGGCAGGAGCAAAGAGGGTAAAGAAAGAACAGGAGGTGACAGAGGAAGT